TGAGGAAGTTAACCAGTAAACAGAAATACCTGCTCCAGTTGCAGAAACTGACCATCACTCATCTGTAGTGACTGCAGGTTGAACAAGAAAATGTGAAGTTAAAGGAAACATCCTTTGTCCCAAGGCCAGTTTAAGTATCATTAATATTTTTCTTTCTTTATGAATCGATTGTAACTTTGTTCACATTTTTCAACAACCAAAATGGAATTAGTTTTTTAATGTTATGGCTAGGTATTAAAAAAACCCAAACATTTAGCTCTCCCCACTACCCAGTTGCTCTTATTTTGAAATGTAACCGGAAGTTCTGTGTTAAGAGAGTCGAAAAAAGAAGTTATGGAGACGCCGCGGCAGTATACTGGAGCAATGTCGAACCGAGACGCCGCTAATGTCGAACCGGTTAATACCATAGACATAATATGCCTGTGGTTAACACAATCTGCCAATAACACCTTGTTTTTAGACATAATGTGTCTGTGGTTACAGCATTTTATCGTTCAGCCTTTTTTTCTATCGTCCAATCAGATGTGGCCGGCCAGATACGCCTATTTTTCTATCGTCCAATCAAATATGGCCGGCCAGACACGCCCATTTTTCTATCGTCCAATCAGATGCGGCCGGCCAGACACGCCTCTTTTCATATAGTCCAATCAGATATGATCGCCCAGATACGCCCATTTTCCTATAGTCCAATCAGATATGACCGCCCAGATACGCCTTCCAAATTTGGCTGCAGAGATACCTACTTGGAAAAATTTAGTCCATGCCCACCTGCTGTGTGGGCCCTACCCGGTCCGTATAAATTACGTTAAGAGCAGGAAATCGCAAGTAGGTATCTCTGCAGGCAAATTCGGAAGGCGTATCTGGGCGATCATATCTGATTGGACTATAGGAAAGTGGGCGTATCTGGGTCGTCACATCTGATTGGACTATATGAAAATGGGCGTGTCTGGCCGGCCGCATATGATTGAACAATAGAAAAATGGGCGTGTCTGGCCGGCCACATCTGATTGGACGATAGAAAAAAAGGCTGAACGATAAAATGCCGTAACCACAGACACATTATGTCTAAAAACAAGGCGTTATGCGTTATAGGCAGATTGTGTTAACCACAGGCATATTATGTCTATGGTGTTAACCAGTTCGACATTAGCGGCGTCTCAGGTTCAACACTGGCGGCGTCTCGGTCCGACATTGCTCCAGTATACTGCCGCGGCGTCTCCATAACTTCTTTTTCTGCCTCTCTTAACACAGAACTTCCGGTTACATTTCAAAATAAGAGCAACATAACTGGGTAGTGAGGAGGGCTAAATGTTAGGGTTTTTTTTTTTAATACCTAGCCGTAACATTAAAAAACAAATTCCATTTTGGTTGTTGAAAAATGTGAAAAAAGTTACAATCGATTCATAAAGAAAGAAAAATATTGATACTTAAACTGGCCTTGGGACTGTAGTGAACTTGACCTGATGTCAAATCTTGACCTTAGGATCATATGGTCAGAAACTGTCATTTCATTGATTTGCATCCAGAAATACAGGTTGATCGATCCTGAGACTTTCTTTCTTGAATTAATCAAGTGGAAAAAGACAATTCTCTATGATCATTACTATTTTACAAATGTTTTGATAATCAAAGTGTTTTGGTTCAAACAATGTCTACATGTTGAAGTGAACTAATCATTTTTATTTACTTAAACGTTAGTAATGATTCTTAATCCTCAATTCAAAGTGAAATCAAGTTAGAGTACGTTACAGAGTAATGATTCAATTTCTTGATCATCTGCTTTGAAGTGAGCAAAGTTGTAAGTGTGTCAAAGTTCAAGCTTCGGTCAACTAAAAGTTTACTGAAAAGAAATGTCATGTTTAACTTTTACAGCGAGATACTAGGAGGAGTGACTCCACGAAGTCTGGTTTTTCCATGATATCTTTCTGTCTGTTCTTAAACAATCTGAATCTTTTCCTTGACTTTTAATAACACCTTACATCACAAAACACACCTCTGTTGGGGTCCATCGACCAATCAGAGGCTCTCAAACGAACCGGAAGTAGAGCCCATTAAAATGTCGGCACTTCCTAGTTCAAGCAGAGAGTTTTGGAAGTTCCAGAATGCAGAACGCTGGCATTCAGGATGCTGCTGAATTAGAATCAAGCTGAACCAGAGACGATTTTGGGAATTATAACTTCTGTTTGGATAACCTCACACGACTCTCGAGGTCTTTAGCTGTTCTTACAGAGACGCTGAACAGTGGCTCGAAGTGGGACTTCACGCCGGAACTGATCTATCTTCAGAAAAGGTAAAAGTCGACCTTCA